AAAGATGTTATATTATATATAACGAGAAATCCTGTGCATGACTTAAGTGGTTATATGGTAAAATGATGAAAATAGTGTTCATCACTAAAGATGTTCTATCATATATGACGGGAAATCCTGTTCATGACTTAAGTGGTTAGATGGTATATGTAGAAAAAGGCTAAACGCCAACTTTACAGCACCATTGTTCAAGGAATACGTACCATTGTTATACTTACCGATAATTACAGGAATATGTAGCACAAATAAAATTCGCCATTTATTCCAAGAAGATGGTTTCTTTTTCATTCAATCCGATTTCATGGATATTGCGCAAAAGGTAAAATCTTAACAAGCCCTATCACAGGAAGATGTAACATGGCTACATTTTGTTCAGCATTTTAGCAATATGTGACATAGTTATGTTTAGCGAATTATCCCATGAACATGAAGTTTAAATCAGTTATGCTTAACTGAGTATTCCAGAAATATGTTGCATAGATACGTTTTGCTAAGCGTCACATAATTTATTACATAGTTATATAGTTATATGCCTGGTTATATAAAGCCACTTCTCCTTGGATTTTGTAAAATGTTATTGTTTATCAAGGTATTCCAAGAAAATGAAATGCTATTAGATATGAACGTGTGACATATCATGGTTAAATTCTATTTTAAACGATATTGTTTAAATAAGCATTTTAGGCATTTGTGTGACAGTATTTTTAATTATTCTGGAAAATATGTCATGACTATGTTGAGCTTTATATGCTAAGAACAGTCCTCACAATTCCAGGGGTTACGCTTCCTTATGTTCTTGTCAGGCTTGACGAAATTGAAAGCTCTGTACGAGCCAGCTTATGAATAATACAAGTAGACTAGTTTGACCTAGCTGTTTTATTATCTTTTGTTCGATGTCTCCACAGGTCCAGCTGTTGTGTTGTCCTTTGTTCGATGTCTTCACAGGTCCAGCTGTTTTATTATCTTTTGTTCGGTGTCTCCACAGGTCCAGCTGTTGTGTTGTCCTTTGTTCGGTGTCTCCACAGGTCCAGCTGTTTTATTATCTTTTGTTCGGTGTCTTTACAGGCCCAGCTGTTGTGTTGTCTTTTAGTCGGTTTCTCCATTGATCCTGCTGATGTGTTATATTTTGTCCGGTGTCTCATCTGTTCCAGCTGTTGTCTTGTCTTTTGTACGATGTCTCAACTGGCCCAGCTGTTGTGTTGCTGAATTTCAGTTGAGGCATCTGTCTGAACCTATTATAGTTTATCTCTATTATGATATAAATATATTTGTCCTGAGTATTACCCTCATTTCTCGACCACATTTTTTTATCTATAATTAACCCAAAGTTAATTTATTTGGCTGTATTTTCTTGCAGTTTAAAGCCGGAGGCACCTTTCTTACAACTGATAATATATATATATATATATATTATATTTGAGTTTGTTCAATACAGTGACAATAATAATGGATCACCTATTTGTCACCAATCATCTTTCATATCACCACTCATACCATACAAATTATGCAAAAAGAAATTTGTATCACTAAAGACTGCATATGGATAGGTATTATTTCATTTACTAGCACACTGTTTTGCTATAAGGAAGAAGGAAGGATAAAAGGAAAGAAAAAGAAGCTAGTAAGAAAATAAAAAAGAGAAAGAAGAAAAGATAAAGACAGATATCAGAACAAGCATGTCAGAGAAGGAAGTCAAAACAGAGCTAGATACTAATTTAAGTTAAGTAACAGAATTGTCACTGAATAATTAAGATATCAGCCTAAATCATGTCAGGTAATAGGCGAAACCAACTAATTTCATCCATTTCTTCCATTCATTTAGAAAAAAAATGTAGACAAGGATCACTTTTACCATATGAAATACATTTTTGAACCACATAGTTTTCTTTTATTGCATTAGCTAGAGCCATAACAGAGAGAGTACCATGTATAGTTCTGGTTCTGTAGATATATGATTTGATTAGAAGAAGAACTTTATTATCAATGCGATTGTAAATGCCTGTGTTATTTACCAAACCAAATAACAATGTTTCTTTATTAATAGGTAATGTAATTGTTAGTGCATTTAACAACCTTTTAAAACTTGCCAGAAAATTCTGAACCTCATCACATTCACAGAACATATGCACGATTGTCTCCCTTTCTCTATTACAGAAATTACAATGAGGATTGTTTGATAAGCCTATTTTATGTGCATAAGAGTTAGTTGTTAGAAATATAGTGGTTAACCTTAAATTGAAGCCAACGGAGTTAAGAATTTTGAGTTCATCGAAAAAGCAATACTTTATGATTTTTTCCATTTCTGTTGGGGTTTTTTTTATAAGAAGAATAAGAAATAGTTTTACACCTTAATTCCATCAATAGAGTTTCTAAAAATAATTGGTCATTAATAACAAATTCTATATCACCATTTCGAGATTTTTTACTCAATCAGATTGGTATACAGGGAGACAGTATTGCAGTTTAATGTTTGTATTTGTATTTTAATAAGATTAAAATAATCCTGGTCATGTAATAAGGAATTGTTGAATTTTCACAGCCCCTTACCTTTTTTGAAATCTTATAATCTTATCATTAACACAAATTTCTGTTTATTCTTGAACTGCAGTGCAAAATCCTGATTCTCCTTTCTTCCTTTGTCTGTGGACTTTCTCCTTTTTTCTTTGCTATTTTTTTTCCTTCCCCCCCTCTCTCTCTCTCTCTCTCTCTCCCTCTCTATGTTCTCATAAAAGCAATACATGTGTAAAGGTGTATCATTACATGTACTAGCGTTAAGAATATCAACTGATGTAAATAAGATTATATATGAGTCGTGTGATGTATGAATATATATAATATGAAATGTTTGATTGTAACTATACCATGTTTTGCGGAAAAATCTTGAATAATAAGAAAATTACAAAACCAAATAATAAACTGAAGGATAGTGCTTGCAAAGTCTATCAATATATACAAAACAAAGCAATAACATTAATGTTCTGACAGGTATATGTTTTTCGCACACATTCCAAAACCAAATACTACAAAAATCTTAAAGTTATTGAATTGTAGATATCGAACAACAGATTTAAGAGGAATTTCACGCGAATAGTTTTTTTAGTGGTAAATGTGTTTATATTGTTATAAAAAGGCAGAGTTATTCACACCTTTAAAACAAGAACCTACTCGGAACATTTAGAATAATTACCTCTTCTGTTAGACAATGTAAAAACAAATTTAATCACTTTGCATTCAGTTGTTTGACTATTAGATGCTGTTTATCGTAACTTCAAATTTCTATTGTAATAATTAAGTTACCCACCAATTGGCATTGGTGGACAATTTTAGTTTGGTAAATATAGAACATATGTGTGGCAAATAAAAATTCAGTTAACAATCTCTTATTTAGTGTTATGGCTGAAGAATAATGAAAATATGAATTTGAATGTTGAAATATACGTAATCGGTTAGATATTTCATAAACAAATGTGTTTCTCAAAACACTGACTGATAAGTGGGACACCTGGGATAATGGTAGCTATACGCACGGGGCTTGGTCGTTATATTTACTGATTATCACACTTTGTTTTGATGGCTTTTTCGTGAGAACAATTTTTTCATCGCAAGCACGGGGAGGCCACCACATGTGAAAAATGTGTCACAAAAAAAAATCATTACTTTATGATGATCACTTTATGACGGACTATTTTCCTACGCGGGTCGCTTTTTGTGGATACTATTTGCTGTTCTGGATGTCACCTGGCGGGAGCGTACCGTTTTCTTTTCGAAAAGCAATACATTCCCATTTGAAAAAATACAATCTCAAGTTGTTCTCAAATTGTTCGCAAAGTCTTCTTGAGTATTCCCATGCTTAAAACGCACGATAATGAATTTATCATGCTACCGGTCGTTGATATTAGGTGGTGTATAGACGATAATGAAGATTTCCTATATGCTGTACAAGAATGTAAGTGTTATCTCCCCTTCCAACTCTCTACGAGTAACTGCTCTAAGATTGACCAGAAATCAATATGAATTAATTGACAGTTTTGATAAATTCTATATTATGCATGACCTATAACTATATGTATTTTTTTTCTCCTGTTACAGCACAACGCAACTTATATTAACAATAAATTCAATGGATATGAATGTTGAATTTTGATATTACATGTGGAAGAGGAGACGTCGAGGATGGGATGTACAACTTCTATGGCAGCAGCAAACCGATCAGTTGTTTCAACGACAGGGTCAAACCCTTTGACAAATAAACAGCGAGATATCATTAAGAAAACATGGAAAGTGATGTGTTCCAATATCACTGGACACGGCATAAAGGTTTTTCTCCGCAGATTTAAACTCCATCCGCACGTCAAACAATTGTCTCCTTGTAGAGACGTAGAAGTGGAAGACCTCTTACGTGATTCCAACTTTAAGGGACATACCTCATGATTTATGCAGGCTGTCGGAGCGGCAGTCGAAAACATTGATGACATAGAAGCAGCAGTCACGCCATTACTAACTGGCCTTGGAAAGCGGCATATACAGTTTACAGGTTTTAAGAACGAATATTTCGACGCATTTACAGAGGCCATGATGTATGCATGGCATGAGGAATTGAAAGGACAGTTTTCCGGTGAAACAAGCCTGGCATGGGCGACAGTATTTGAATTCATAATGCACAAACTGAAGGAAGGACACGCGGCGGCATTAGCTAACAGCGATAAGGTTCAACAGAATTTAGTATCCAATGATCAGATCGCATCGAAGTGAAAAGTTATTATTACCATGTTATTTCCAGCATGTCAATTCATGTCAAACGATAAATGACACATATTCTTTGTTGTTTTATTTTAGTTGTAGGTACGAGTTTAATCGGTAGATTGTTGTTAACCTCCTAGTTTTGATGGGTGCCATATGTGGCAAGGAAACGCTTAACGTTTTGAGCCACTTCATTTTAAGCTAGTAGTTTGCAGGTAATGTCTTTGTTTTTGATTTTTGTAAAACAAGGAATCTTCGTCAAAAATCATTTCTTTTATTTACAGAGAGAACAATGCAAAAAGTAATGTATACATAAGATATAAAAATTCATGCAGAACTAACTTTGGCCATTTTTCATTATTTCAGTCTCATGTTGTCCCTGGAAATAAAACAATAATCGATTATATATTTCATTTCAAATTTAAGATCTTACAATACATGTTTTTATTAGAATAAAAAAACACACGTGTCCTGAAATAAAAATGAAGTGTTTAAGACAGTGTACCGGAGCAAGGTATAATGAATTAGTAACGATATTTTACGACAACAGTAATTATAAAGTAATTACTTTTTCACCTGGAATGCTTTTTGTTTCGTTCCTTCAGTAATTTTGTAGAAATGTGACAGAGTAATATCAGGATGCAAGTGTACATCTGGATAAATACTGTACTGTATATATTGACATTTTCGAGGATCAGAATGTTACCTTTTTGAAACAATTTGTATCGACAATGATTCTGAAATGTTCCTTTTATCGAATATAAAAGTTAAAATAGGCCAAAATATTGATACTGTGACTAATTCAGCTTTTCCTGAATTACGTCGTGTACTTACATCACAGCCACATTCATTACAGATATCACAGACACCAGAGTTCTTCAGCACTGTGGATTGGTAGAACGTCGTTACTTGGTTACCTGGTTTGTAAAAGAAATAAAGCATTTGAATACGTTAAATCCTATCTAGCGTGACGTATGTTTAGATGAAATGTCGACTTGACAGTTCCTACTAGTACATTGTAGGACAAGTTTCAGACTAAATCCTCGCAAAATATGCGACAGTCGGTCTTGTAGTGTTTTTTTTTTATATAATACTATTATTGTTCAGATATAGTTTAACAACTAATAAATGAACAGTATTAATTATCTTTTCCTGTGGATAACTTATTCATAAATACGTACTCGCGAAAATAAAATAATTGAAATATTTCTGCAGAATTGTTTACTGTATATTGAGAGTATGTAAATATATTCAACAAGATTTATCTTACTTGGCTCATAGTAGTCATAGACTCTGATAGGAGCCGGCTTCGACTTGGCAACTTTGTCCGTCCTGAAGGCATCCATAGTTACACACAGGGGGGTCGTGGTAATCTAGATAAAGTGAATTCGGATTACAGATTAGACATTAATGACTGTATATATATGTAATATAAAAATATAATAAAGCTCTGAAACTTTACCGAAATTACTTATGTTTCTTTCTGTGATAGAGATAGAGTGAAACTATTATGTTATACGGACAAGAAACTGATTTTTTCCACAAGTTAATGTTTATTATTTGACTGTGAGAAGTGACTCATAGCAAAGGCATCGTATGCTGTTAAGAACTGTACATTAATTGGAGGACATTTCATCATTTTAAGGGATTGTGTTGACGTCGATAAAATTATCTCGGGAAAAATGCTGGTAAAATGGTACTTTTCAGATAGTCATTTTTCAGCAAGAATTTTGTCTAGAGCAAAAAATAGATAATTGTTCTTTAGTTAAGATTTCGTCGTCGCAATAAATGAATGATTAACAACAATCGGAAGAGTCATGGAGAGAAGTCGTTTAATTGACATGAAATAGCTACCATTCGAATTATTTTTTTGAAAGCTATAACAGTTAACTATTCGTTGTTGTTATTAAACACGTTTAACGAAATATCTCACCTTGATATCAAGCTTATTAGAATAACATCATAATCGAGACAGCATATCTTGAAACGAGCTTACGATGCCTTCACTTGAAACGCCACATGTCGTCACAAAGATATTACCAAATGGTACCACTTGTTGTGGAAGACACTTTAGTTTTCGAAATCGTTACTTGTGGTGATCATTCGTTAATAGCAGTTTAATATCCTAGTTTTGATGATACTTATTGATCAGCATATTTTACCACCAGTTAATGTTGCTGATATAAGTTACTTTTTTGAGAGTTAAATAAAAATCTACCAATGTCTGCCGTTTTTTTGTTGTGGATAAAAAAATCTTTCTACTTGATTTACATTTTAGTTTTCCAGTATAGATATTTAAAGCAACGTTTTGCAATAACAAGAAAACCGTATTCTTTGATCCATGACTAAAAGGACCACAGAAATACTTAAGATGAAACATGTTAATGCATTATTTAAGGTAAGTCTATGCTTGGTTAAATGTTCATACCTCGTCAAAGTACAAAATGACCTTGCGATTTTCCATCTCAGTCTTTTTCAGGGTGGCTATTTTCCCAATGCTTTCAAGATCAGGGGCGAAACCGGTCGGCACGCCAACTTCCTGCACGGCCATTCCGCTGGCTCCAGTTTTCAGCCACCTGTAATCCCGATTAATCGAAGCTTTAAGTACGATGGCATTGCTGGCAATAAATACATGGACTGATAAACATGCATACACATTTTCAGAGGTTTTTTTCTTGTTGTGCATATAAGAAGAAAAAATAAAAAAAAACCCACTTCTTACTTTGTACAGGATCGGACTTTTAGGGAGTTGATTGTTTCTTCTATAATCGTAACATCAACTTCAAATGATGGCTGTTCGACCTCTTGCTCAACATTAAAGAATACAGATACCTGTAACAAAATATAACTGCATGTTACGTGGGTAAGTAATTGAAATGCTTTATTAATTTCAGGATTTTTTAAATTTGTTCACAGTTATTTCAGGCATAATTGTGGTATTATGATAGTAACTTGTATTCTGATGAAACAAAGTAACAAACCTCGACTAGGCCCATTCCACTTCCGGTTCCTGTAACAGTCACGTGGCTTGGTATGGAACGGAGCTGAAGAGAAAGTAATTTGCAAACTGATGAAATGTATGGATTACCAAATCGTAAAGCACAGTGTTGAATGGAATACAAATCTCTAGTGACAAATCGTATCACTTACTGTTTCGACTTACTGTCTAGCGGAAATGCTACTTTCTAATAACGAATTATATAATAAATGTACATTCTTTGCAATTTCTAGTAGCAGAGCTCCTAATTTAAACGAGTTTCAGTATACTATCTCTACTAAACATTTTCAAATTTTAACGAACATGCGATTCATTGATCAACATATGTGACATGTTGAACCGTATTGAAAGAATAAAATAGAAAATGTATTATCTCTAGTAAAAGCGATCATAAATACCAAGTATTTGGTGAGTTTGAAATAATAAATTCAAGTAAATACCCAATGTATTATCACCAGTATAAAAGCTACTTACTTCCAATGATTGAAGTACCAATGCATTCTGTCTGGTGACGTTAAACGTGTGAGTAGTTTGTCCAGCTGTGATTCCGATTTGCATGTGGAAGTGTTCAGAATATCCGATACGAGCGAACTCGGACAAGGACTGTAGTGCTAATACGGTATCCTGGAACCAATATAAAGATGATTTTTGTAACAGTGCAATTAAAATATAAAACATAATATATGTTAAACTTTGGATGAGGTATATAATATATATATGTATATGCAATTTGAGGAAGATTCCTCCTCTTTTTTTTCACTTTTGATTTTAAACCTCCCTGAACCAACACGAAAAATACATGAATAACAATAAATATATTATGCTTGGTGACATCGCTCGGTTGCAATTTCAATGCCAAAGCTTTCACTACAATCTTATCAACGCGACATTTATTATCTGAAATGTAATATCTATTTGGAGGTAATTAACACATTTTAAATTTTTCTAATGACATTTATCCCTTTTCATACGTTTGTTTAATCGTAAATCTGTACTAACCTGAGTTGAAGAAAAGCCGCCATTGGGATTCCTCTGCTTTGTGATCCATTTCATGAAAGGAAGCCCTTCAGTAAACTGACCGTTGTGAGCAAACACCATTAGGCCATATGACGTCATCTCAATATCCACTGGCTTGGATTGCTGATGGGGTGGGGACCAGTAGTGGCCGGTTGAGGATGAGGCTGATTCTGGTTCATGCCAGTGGGTCATACCGTCTGTAAAGCATCAAAACCGTGCAATAAACGATATGATGATACAAAGACAAGTACTTTTCGACAATTATAATAATTTTAAAGGTTGAGAAAGGGAACAGCACAAAGCATCCCAATGTTTGTTTACAAATAACAATAATTTTTATATGGTACCTTAAAAAGTTTGATAGTTTTCAATGAAATTTTATTCAAAGTGTTTACAGATTTGATGATACGATAGGATGTCATATGACTATGAAACATTCTATACGCTTTATATAGTATTGCCACACGGAAATGTCATCATAGAGATACAGAAACAGTAAAGATACGAATGATAATGTTGCAATGTATTCAGATTCAAGTGTGTTTCTTCAATATCTTTGCTAAAAGGATAAAGAAGATGAACCTTGTTATATGGAGGGAAAGGACATATAAGTCGGCAAGTAGAGAGGTGGCACATTCGACGCCTAACAAAAACGGAACACATAAGTCGCCTTACACGGAGAAGGCGAATCAGTTGTCACATAGTTTTCCAATAGTCTTCTTGGAAATTAACGTTTCTACACTCCCTCACTTTTTTAGGAACAAAGAAAGTTCATATAAAACAATTATGCAACAAGCATTACCGCAACCACTGACCTCACTATTATCTAAGAAGGAATCGCAAACCTTTAGTAACTGCTGTGGCCATGAGTTTATGGAAGGTTGTTGCTGAGGAATGGCTTCTTGCTAAAGTCAATGCGTAACTGCAAATGGATAGGCCGTAGGGATCTGTCATGGCGAAAACCTCTCCCTCCAGGTATGTCTGGGCTTTGCTTGCTGATGATTGTATCCTCTGGTGCACACCCTGTGAATTTGAAAATTTCACTGCTGCTTAAAAATGATTTGATAGAGCATTACAAGTATTTGCTTATAATACAATATACAATAACATGACACATATTAAAGTGATGAATATCTAGGCGCTTGTTATATATTCGGTTAGAGGCAATGTCCTTTAATGCGTTTTATAACATGTCATTCAGTATTACAAGGCAGAAATGAAAACACCATAGGTTTGATCTTCAACTCCAATTACTTATTTCCACAGGTGTGTAAGACGATGACCTGATGTATAACTTACTCCTTGCAGGTCACTGTTCTCCAGTAAGGCGATAAGGACGAAGGCGGTCAAAGAAGCACCAGAGGCAGATCCACCCTAAATCAGAAAATAGATCAGACGCTTTAACATTAAGATGCATGGTCATTTGAGAACAAAAATGATTAACATATTCACGTTGAAAGCAAGGAAAGACGTTCACACAAATTACATTGCTTACTATTCTTGTATTACTATTTTATTAAGTCAGTGTACCCTGTAGCAGCCTTAACCTTCTGTTATTTTTATCCTACAGTGATTTGTGTTATTGGCATAGATATCAGAGTCATACTAGGGTATACAAGAAACCAGCAACAATGAGATATAAAGTAAACAAGATCTCTAATAATACCATCAATAATAAAGTTCAAGTATCATGAGAGAGAATCTTCATGTTATATAACCTCTGAACAATTGTCCTCCTCATTTGATAAATGTTAAATTCATTTTGCACATTCAAATATTAGTTCCTTAACTTGTTTTACACATGGCTCCCTCATTTGCATAATAACATCAACATTACCTGCATGTTCTTATGGATGATACGGCCAGGTTCTGGGAAGGAACCATTTGCTGCCTGGCGGTTTATCATCCAATCAATAGCTCTGGTTAGAGTTTCATCATCGATAAAGACATGACGTTTCGCCTGGTGGAATGACTTCGCCACAAAAGCCGTTAGCCACATACTGCCCGATGGGTCACTGTCTCCGAAAGCACTGAATGATCCATCCGTGTGCTGGAAAGTAAGTTCTCTTTGGTATCCTGTTAAAAAACACATTCATTGTACAGTATACCGACCGGCACATTCAAGAGTAACAAACCGGAACATAACTGGCCATGTCTTATACAGATGTAATGAATAATTTTTGAACGATATAATTCATTCAAGTTAAATTACGCATTTATGTTTAAGAAATAGAAACACGTTACTTGTATTTGAGATTTTGAACATTGCAGAATAATAATTTATTATCTTCATATAAAATATTGCTGACTATTATGCATGTCGGCTTATGATTTCTTACCAAATACTAATCATCCATGATATTTTTAATTAAAATCATTCATCGAAATCTTTCGCAAATTATATAAGAAACGTCAAAAAACATAACTAGACAAAACACGTACACAGTTTTAAATTTGCTTTGTTATTTCAATATAATTATTGATAAACACAAAGGTTTTTCTAAAGAAAAACAGTGCAATGTTTTGTAAAAAAAAATACCCATTTAGTTTACACATATACTTTTACATTATGAGTATAAAAAGTAATGCATTAATACTATGAATTACTAATTTTTCGTATGACACTTACTTTTGCTTAAACCTGGTACAATTTCGATCGCGGTTTCAACATCGACGCGATAACTTTTCTCAATAAATTAAAGGAGCTATAACTTTGCGTAGTAGAAACAAAATCTCATTTAAAGAGTACGGAATGGTGAGTTTTCGAAATGAAGTATAGGGGTTGTACATAAAGTTTACAGTATTTATCGAAGTTAAACAAATGAAGCATATGAGCATACCTTTCTCCATGAAGTTGATCGCTTTCCCCTCGACACTTGATGTCAACTGGTGGGTGTCGGTGAGATGGTTAGTTACAAACACATCAGGTGCGAAACCTAACATCGTCTGTTCTCCACATCCGGTTGGCATGCGCAAAAGTTTTTCTAGCCCATTGACCGTTGGTCCCATTAAGTCTCCTACAAAAAGAAAATGAATAAGTTGTTAAAAATCTTTATTTTTTATTCCATTTAATTATTTTTCACGCAGGGAAGGTCTGGAAAAATCTTCAAAATCGATTTGATATTAACACGAATCAAGGAAATAGTCTTTCTTAAAAATATTAATCTATGTGATACAATACGTTTTCATATGCTGCGTTGACAATATCGCTTAACATTCACAGCTTTTTTACGATGATTTCATTCATTTAAATCAACTTCTTGAAAAATATTAAAGAAGAAAACATACCGATAGCCGAGACACGCACTCGCTGTGATCCGGCGACGACCCCAGCAGGTAATGTGACATCAACTGTCTCCGCGAAGTTGGTGTTGTGTTTCAGGTCAACAAGCATCGGTATATTGTACTCTTTCGGGACACCTTCAGCCTTATCGTGAAACAGGTTACATAATTCTTAGTTACTGTTATTCCTTGAATATACCTTTCTCGCTGATTTACAAATGTTAAATAACGTCCCATCGACCGAAATACCCACTACGTAAGTAAGGATACTTATATTGATACACAATTTGAGTTTATGTCAGATGTTCTGATTTTATTTATACCGATACTTTTAAATAATTCTGATACGGTAATAAAAACAAATCTACGTGAGCAGTAGCAAATTCCAGAATTTATCTATTTTACGTATATTTATTTCATTGCTGATAATCGATCACTTCACGGATGTCCGTCTCAAGATCAATAACCATGTTTTGTAAGAGTGCAAAAAGGTTATCACTTGCGACAGAATTAAGATATTCGTACAAACAGGACTACAATCCATTTAATCCACCCATCCTCATTCTAGGACCCATTTTCAGAACCCCGAAGCATTAACAGGGTTAATATTTTCTATATCCATCTTTTTCAGACCTCATTATATTTGTATCCCTCCACTATGAGTCGATCTAGGGACCTCTGGTTTACTAGTCTTACTAGAGGGAGTGAGCTAAAGATAAATTCACCCTCGTTAAGTCGGTAATATTTTTACAGGAGGACACACTAACGCACTGTCTTTATCTAGGTTTAATAGTGGAACCCATGGCTATTAGCTATTTAGAGTAAATAAGGTTTTCTCTGGTGTACGTAGCCAAAGTCAGTAAAGATAACGTAATGGAAAGTTTGTTATATCATAATCTTGAATAAAATCATAAATGAATTTACTAGCGCTGTTATAAAGCGCTTACCATTTCAAAACATGGATACGTATATATTAAAAAGACAAAAGTCCCGTTTCAAAGTAAGCCTTATTTTTATTAATGGTTTGAATTAAGTAGCGTTTGAAATCTTTCCAAGACATGTTCCTACCTGAACATAACACAGACCATGCTGACTTTATACGGACACACTAAAATGATGAATCGAGTTCGAAAACACGTAAACAATATCAGCATCTGTACCTCAATAAGGAGTTGTCGCCTAACAGCGTCGGCGGCCAACGTAGACTGGGCCTTCACGTTAATACTGACAGAACCAAGGCCGGCAGGAACCACAGGGAAAAACACAGACTTTGTTCCACCAGCTGTTACCTGGAGACAGAATACCGACATGTACAGTAAGTCGTGAAACAGGGGCTCGGTTGTATTTGATAGGTAAAATATGGTTAAAACGTACTTAAAACACACATAAATGCAATTAGAAGTATACTCTATGATGATATTATTCATATCGAATAACATCTTGTATATAAAAATTACATCCTTATGGAAATATTTAAATTAATTTATAATACTGTGATGAATAGATATATCTGATTTTCAAACGTTACCTATGATGTATTTTCATAATGGTTCAGTTAATTGCATTTCATGGTTTTCAGTTTAAGAAATACAATAATTACCGAAAATAAATAATTAAAGATGTCATAGGCGATAACAAAATCGAAACGGAAAAAATTGAAACGTTCTCAATATCTGCCATATACCTAAAAAAGAAATCATTCACTGTCTTAGTTCTGCAGCATGGCTTTTGATGGACAATTATGAGAAGTACTGGGAACAGTGTAATTTGATGATTTAAGATAGATTTAAAATTAGGAGACTAAATAGAACTTGCAACAATTATATAATTTCATAGAAAAAAACACACAAAAATATATCAGCTAGAATGTAATCCTACACAGGAATATCAACAGTATGTTAAATACGATTTCTATCCGGTATAGCGAACACGAGAAAACTTTTTTATTATGTGTTTGTTAGACAAAAAAAGTGCATGTGAGCAAAACTCCGATGAAAGCCACGTATGGAACCAATTCATTTGAAGTTGACTTCGTTTGCACTACCCAAGATTTTTGAATGGAAATTAATTATCTAGTTCATCAGGTTAATGCATGCAATAATTTGCTATCCGTCTACCTGGTATTGGTTATTGTCTCGACAAAAATGCGTTAAGCTAAACAAAAGATGTTTAGGAAAATATATCACGCTAAAAGCTAGTCCTATGTCATCTGTTTAATCCTCCTGATTGGAATTTGTATGTAAAAGAAATCTATGACATATCGTGTTCGTCATTTGTCCAGTATGTATAAAAATATGCCTCTAGATAGTTTTTGGTCCCAGCTAATGTGGTAAGATTTTGAAATGACTTGATTGTAAGCAAACATTAGAATTGAAAAGTATATGGATGTCCCTAAAACATTCTAGATTTGGATAAACAATGGCTTAATTGATGATAGTTAATTGTATTTTCTCTGTTGTTATAGCTGTATAACTACTTACGTGTACAGTCTTTGTTGTTGTCTGGGCGATGTAGGACTCTGTCCCATGTGTACCGAATACGACATTTACCAGATCATCATTCTTTTCTAATGTTACAATGACCTGGTATGTAAGAAAAAAAACATTAAATAAAACACAAAGAAAGTTCAATCAAACATGTTACTTACGGTCAACGGTGTTCAAGAACGGACTGACATTACTAAAAAGACGTCATGCAAATACCACCCTTTATTTAATCTTTTATGTGCACATTGCGATGATTATCTGCTTGCTTAATGTATAAAAGCGATTGTAAGCCTTTATTTTTGTTTCACGATTATAACTTATACTATTATCCATATGTTTTAAAGCGCTTTAGAGTAATTTTACAAATTATATAGGGCGCTATATAAATGTTGTATATTATTATTATTGGATTTTCTGTCAGCGCCAACTCAAAATAATCAAAATGTAAACTGTTTAAGTCTACTGCTTCAGAATAAAACAAGATATTAAAATATTTTCATTTATATATCATTCTCTTTGAAAACACATGTTTGTTGCCCATAAGAAAGAAATAATGGTACAATTATTTATTGAAGGTTGTCAGTTATATAACTTGTTGTCGTCCCGAGGGAATTGTCACTGAAATAACATTTTGGTCGCCCTGTAGAAACTATCAGTGATGGTTAAAATTAGGTTTAAAATGATGCAGTGTCCATGCGCAAAATTGAAACAGAAGTCGACATGAAAAGAAGAAAGAAAAAAAACTGTTGTATGTCGTTTTGAAATTGCCAACTCTTAATGATTTTTTTTTATTCAGTGTTTTCTGACGTACGTCCATATCCATAGTCATATAGTTGAAAACATTGGCCTGCAGTACGAGTTGTTCTCCTCTTACAACTGAGTAAGGCAATGTCAGGCTGACAAAGAATGGTCTGAAGGCTTCAACCTGCAAGATCAAAAGAAGCTGTTGTAATTAGATCATAAACGGGATCACATAATTGCCCAAAGTCATCAGTCGTCGTCGATTTTTTGTTATCGCGAAAGACACCGAGTGTGTTGGAACTTCAAAATATCAAAAGCAATATATTAAACATACTGGTTTAAGTTCAATATGAATACATACAATAGCATCAACACGCAACGAAAAGTTTGGAACGAGAGTAATATTTTTACAAAAGGAATGCAATTACGATACAATATTGAAGAAAGCAGGCTTTCCAAAACGTATAAACGTTCTTTGTTCTTGATCAATTTACAAGTTTAGAACTATTGTATACTATGATAAGCGTGCCTTTGCGCTTGTTGGGGCGATTCCGAGGCCACTGGTGGCGTGGACAGCAAAGGCACTGGCAACCCATGACGTAATCGTATCCGGGATTGTGGCAGCAATGGTCACGTGGCCGTCAGGTCTACGTTAGTTAACAAATCGAAAATTAATGTTGTAATGGATAATGTATGCTTTGTATGTTACGACCAATCATTGTAAAACAGTTTATTGGTCTGTAATACAGGTATTCGATTTTATTATATTCTTAAGCGTCCGGAAAAACAAATATTTGAGACATTTTGTCTATAAAATATTTTTGACTGCACAAAAATAATCAGATTTACTATACTCAGTATAATAGACGTATTGACATTTTATTGTTGAAAACAAATGTATATTTTAATGTCAAATAAATAGCAATCACTCATACTAAGCCGAATTTGATATACATGGAGTTATGACATAATTAACATGTGAGAGAAATAAGATGCATATGTCAGATGAAGGTGCAGGAAGGCAACAAGTAAGGTAACAAAGCAAAAACTAAGCATAACATATAAATACAAAATAACAATTCTGGCAATAAATGAAAATATATATATCAAAAGTTTCAAATCAACACAATATTATTTTGTTTTATGATTAAATAAGTGTATAGTTATAAGCCGTTTGTCTATATGTTGCTGTAGTTTTCTACTGTCACAAATCATAAAATCTGTTTTTATTAAATGCATAGAAAGACAAGGAAACGGTCTAGCAAGTAAGCTGTTCAAGAATAAAGAGACATTTTTATTTTCACACTCCTAAACGTTGCACGTTGTAATTAGAACAACTATTGAAGATTAACTTCCCCGAGTTGAGAACACATGGCGTTTTTTATCTGTTTATATTCAAAAATAAGAAGAGGACCACTAAGAAGGAATCTGACATGATGAATTCACACCACGAACGACTGACAGGAAGAAACCTATCCCCAACAACTTGATTAAGTCTTAATCAGGTATCTTGGTCATCCGTTCAATTTTCAGCACTAACGTTTCTGTCACACACTCACTAGGCATACCAGAAGTCATGCCGTTCCGAGAAAATACCACCAGCACCACCACTAAAAACACAAGCTATACACATTCTAGCTCTACAGAATGTGAAGGAAATGCTTTGAGGTCTTAAAACATATTTTTTTTTTGCTATCCTCCAAATAGATAATGGAGGCCGAAACCAGATTTTTACCCAACATTTTTATTGAGCCAAAGCCATGTCTCTTGGAAACGGGAGTTTTCTCCACATTTTTAAGCGCCGAAGTTACATGTACTAACAAACCATCCAGACCAATAACAGGCGGCATCACATGCATGCCAGTCGCACCCAAACCGGATCTTAAAGTGCATAAAGATGAAATATTATATAAATATTACATTCATTAGCAGATGACAGAGAATATTGTCAACCCGAGAAAACCATTGTTCGCCTCGGGTGACAATGGGGTTTTGAGGGTTGACAATATTCACTGTCACCTGCTAATGAATGTAATATCTATTTTGTTACACCAAAAGTCAATGTAGCTCAGAAACGGCAGCAAACCTCGATAATGACATCTTGTTTGTTGATAGTCTGCTGTTTACAATCGCTATCGCACCGGCGCCTGATGAAATTGGCTGTTGCCGTCAAACGTTCTTGTGACCATCACGGTAGGGAAACGAAGCGGTGCACGCTTATTTTTTGCGCATGTGATATTTTTTACTGTCTCATGGCAATATCACCCGCGCCCCTTAAAACCAATGTATTTTCGGAGGGTGACAGAGATTTTTGTTTAATTTTCTCCCAACCAATCAAATAGCTAGAAATTCACTTGAGGTTTAACAATGCGTATTAACCACCTCCAGGAAATCTACTTTAAAATGTATGTAAAATTTAAATCAAGCAGACAGATCCTTACAACACTGCAGAGGTAGATTGGTGGTGAAGTAGTAAACGCATCTATCTTTCACCAAAATGGCTCGGATTTAATTTCCAAACAGGACGTGGAAAGACATCTTGAACACCTGCCCAACCACACGTTTTTTCTTGAGATATTTAGATATGTTTTCACATAGAAACCGGTGTGCGGTACCCTTTGAGTCAACAACTGCGGCAAATATTGTTAATCAAATGTAGTACAAGCGTGTCTTTTCATTAACGTCTTGAGATTCACGTATAAATTGATGTCAAGTTGAGAATCCTCGTCTTGACACTATTTTGGGATGGTGGTTGCAATTGAATAGCATTCTTCATATTTATATCATCACGTTCACTTTTCTATATTATTGCGTTTTCCACAACATTTTTGTATCCAACTATAGAATAAAATTGATACTGTGAGTGAGTTCTATTAGCAGCTGCCTAATACAAACATACAACAAGAAAATCCCAAATAGCCAAAAATGCCATAAGGCAGTATCAGCACTAAGACACCTGAAAAAGGACAAGAACAGGCGTTCCGGAGGGGTACGGAATTGTTGAATTGAAGATTGTAGTCAATAGTGTTAGTAAATGTGCGGGGACATCCATGAAAATGGTTGAAATTAGGAGAGTGAATAGAATCGTAGCATTGTTGTGTGTGTCTTGCATGTGCAATAATGTTTGGAATAGTAAAGCGTGTCGGCATTTGGGAAAGTACAGAAATTGTAATGAAAGGGTACATTTTGAAGTTAACGGGAAATGTGTGTCATATGTAGGAATAATACAGTGTGTGAGAAGTAAACAGTGCGTGTATATGGTGAAGTGTGGCAATGGCAACAAGACAAAGCATTGCTCGACAATCCATACACCCTAACGATTAAATGGCACCATTTAAATTAAGGAATTAGGTTAGTGTGTGTGTTAATCGTCATATTATATAATAATTCAATATAGCTAAATTCACATACACACATCAATTATGGAAAGTAATTATAATTAGTATTGGAGCGTTCCCCAAACAATGATTGGATTCAGATGAGGAAAAATACGTCACAACGTAAACTACACTCTAAACAGTATTTCTCCATTTCAAGATATACTTGGGTAACATCAATTTTAAATGTAAATGGGCGTTTTACAAATACCCCACACTGCCCCTATAGTCGCAAATGTTGCATTATTAAACATTTTAATTTCATAAAAATCCCTTATAAGTTTGGGAAAGACATAGGTGGACCGTTTGCATCACATGGGCGTACAATTATAAACGTGTCAATCAATCAGAGGCTACGGCGGCCATCTTTGAAAAGCACATCTACGCACATTCACCAACGGGTATCGGAAAGAGAATGAGTACACACCATATCAATATCTGATTTCAGAGGTGAACTGATAACAGTATCTTAGAAAAATCAAAACAAAGGGGAAACCTTCAGAATTTGAATATTTGCATTCCCTTAACAGTAGGAAATGAAAGCGATTCTTTTACTGAACGACTTTTCATCTGATTAGTAGCTGGCATAGCGATTGTGTTTAACAGTTAAAAAATGGGGTAAAAAAAAAAAAAAAAGTAAAAGGTTAAAAAAGCAGGAAAGGAATCAGCTTATGCTTTCCAATTTTAAGGTTGATTTGTGTGTTTAAAGCTTAGCCCTTAAGCCTACGTAGTCGTTTTTTGTGGCGGGAATAAAGCAGCCAAAACCAAAAAACCATAAAGGAATGTGTTTAACACGCAAAGCAGAATAGAATATAGACGCATAAATGATACAATAGCACTTTAATTATAATGGGATGGTATAAATTTAGGACCAAAATATCCTATCTGATTTAAAAACAAACTATCTACACATTGTCGTAAATACCAAGCTGTTCTGAGTTAACAAAAGCCCCCATCCATGTCTGTTGTAGCTATTTGAATCGAACCTGACAAACTAGTGGGAAAAGCCAGAATAGTGTTATCACTCATTGGCGACACCACATGTATCTGCATGTAAAGACCTTTCCCCTACAGTTCTATTGAGCCACATCCACGTCTCCAGAAAATTGGAGCGAGTTGTCTCCACTTTTTTCAACTTTTGATTTCCTACTATACCGCCCCCAGGCATACAAGAAGTCTAACTAGCACCCGCGGCTGTTCCATAGCCATGTCTCGGGAAAATCAGAACGAATTGTCTCAACTTCTTTCAGCACCTAAGTTTCTCCCATTCCACCAGCACCCATACCAGCAACTGGGGCCATTGGAGACACAGTCTGGAAACCGTTGAACGCAAGCCCAGGAGCGATCCCATGCATCATTGTGGTGACTTGGAACAAATAAAGATTTAACCTAATTCGTTTAAACATTTCCCCCCAGGTGACGCAGTGTGCCATTCAGTGTGAAGAATAAAATGGTAACAAGAGGCAAAATCATTCTGTTTTGACACAGCTTATCAAGAGATCAGTGTCTTTACAAAGGATGTCAAACAATGAGATGTGGATACCAGTCGTCGCCATGGTCTTGTGGGGTCTACCTTAGGTCGGTAATCAAAGTAGTACACGTGCCCCGTGTCCTTTACATGTACTTTGATTCACGTGTAAAATAATACCTAGCTGTTATATCCCCATTCCACAAGCTTGCCAGGCTCGATGACGTCATCCTTTAATATGCTTATCTGTTCACTATTTTGGTCAAAATGTGATTGCCTGTTTCAGTGCCTTTACCCAGAAATCTCGGTCATTCAACCATACACAATAAAGGTAATAACTGATGATTAGTTGAAGCAGTAATCCTTCATTGCTTTATAAAAGTTTATACATATGCAAATCACAGCTTGATAATGATATGAAATTGATAATGCCTAGATTTATGCCAATTTTGAGTTAACCGAAGTTAATACAGATACATATAATACTGTGTATAGGAATATGAGATAATATTTAATATTTAGGTGGCATTGGAATAACAATCATGTGTATTGGGGAATTGTGTAAGGAAATTGTTCAGGACGGGAGAAAAAGAATGGATTTGGGAATGGTACAAGTGTAAGGAAATTGTTCAGTGAGAATCACAAATAATGTGGGAATAGTAAAAGTGTAGGAAAATTGTTCAGGAAGTGAGAATTAGTATATTTGCGAACGGTACAAGTGTAAGTAATTTGTTCTATGAGAATCACAAAGTATTTTGGAATGGTACAAGTGTTAGGAAACTGTTCAGTGTTTAAGAATAACAATTAGGTGGGAATGGTACCAGAGTAAAAGAATAAGTACAAAGTATGTTAGAATTGTAGAATATGTGGAAGTAGAACAACGTGTGGGAAGTGTAGAGTGCATGTCTATAGCCGAGTATGGCAAATTATAACACGGAAAAAGCATTGCTAGACATTCCATACTCCCGTACTGATTAATGGGCGTCGTTAAAATCAGGTTTTTGTCCACTTATATTCTGCAATAGAAATGCGCATTTATACCTACATTTGTAAACTCTGAATGTGATTTTATTTTAGAATTACTTCGGAAGACTATTGAAAAAGAAGGAAATATTACAGGAAACGTAAAACAGAAATAATCGCGGAGTTGGGGATCAAAATTCTTTTACATCTTAACACCTAGGATGGTACTTAAGATAATTGTGTAGTTATACCCAGGCCTAGATTAAAAAGTGACGGATGAAGAAGGGATCATGATGTAGGTTTTTCTACTTTTTGGGTTGTGCGTTACGTGCGTCTTATCTTAAGCTTCATTAGCCTAGCAATCATGTTATTCATTCAGTTAATTAATTAATTATTATTGAACAAAATCAACTGAGTGTTCTTAAAGGGCAAAGAGTGAACTACCAGATATCATACACCAATTTAACGTCTCAGCCGCAGGTCATGATAATGGTTAGAGAACAGTGTATCAGATTTCCTTCTAAATACCATGTAACAGAGCGTGAAACAAGAAGCAAAGTTGACATGCGCACATGAAGCAGAGGAAAGCATGATGCTAGACAAACACCTAATGAAAAAAGAACAATACGGATGAGCGCATTATCAATAGCGTAGCACCTGCTGTTAAAATAGCAATTTATTCATACTAATTGTATGATAACGCTTAGATTCCGTTTGTTCGTATTATATATCCCTTCTTTTTATATTTATTCGAAATTATATTAAGCCCACTCCTGTTTGTTCTAGGTATTTGAGTTTAAAATTTTACCCGACAGTTTTGTTGATCCATAGCCATGTTTCTGGGAAATCGGAGCGAATTGTCTCCACTTCTTTCAGCACAGAGGTTCCTCCTATACCACCAGTGGCCATGCCAGCAGCCGCACCAGAATCCATAGCACCGCCTGGTCCCAATCCAGGCCCAGCCGTGGGTTTACCACTCGGACCTGTACATATTGGTGGTAGGTTTGCGAAATCGGTCGCACCTGGGGAAAAAAATACTATGTTATCAAATTCTTCTGATTTCTAGTCACCAATGTCTCTTCTATCACAGGTTAAAAGTCCTGAAGGTTTCCATTTGGGGAATATTTTTGAGGTCATTTTTGATTTCTGTCTAATTTTTGCCATTTTTCGCCAAATTAAAAGAAACAAGAATATGGGTTCGATGAAGGAAAACTCGTACTTTTAATTGTTGTGTGATAATAGTGCTGCAAACTGGCTTATGTATTAAACATAACATTCTTCATTGTTCTGTGACGTATAATAACTTGGTTTTGGAATGGAAAACATATACAAAAATCCAAGATGGCTGCCAATATGCGGGTAAAACCAGAGCATCTCAGCTGTATGAAACAAGCCGGGACAATTTGGATACATGTTTATTTATACTGTACAATGATAATTGAAAACCATACATTTACAAATGAAAGTGTAATATTCACATACATCATATAAGGGTTTTAGTGTCAGTTATCTTCAAGATTCAAGATTCGTATGCCTCATCTTTATCGTCTTCGATGACAATATTGGCCGACTGGTTGTTACATCTCTCTCCCCGACAACCATCACATGCTACAACACTTCAACCCATTTTTGTGGCATGAGCACAAATTCGTAGTACACTGTTTTTGTTGGTACTTTTACACTTGCAGCAAATGAATTTCAAAACATTCACAGATGCCGCATCCAAATCCGTCAACATTGGGTGCATAGTATGAGTTGCCACAGTCCATCCCCATTCAAGGGGGTCAAGGTAGTTGGTGTTGATTTCTTTTCACTGCATTACCTGAAGATGAACACGGAGGCTGGGAGCAGTCGTTCAGTCTCAATTCGATTACATCGAGCAACCAATGCCTGATACCTGATGTGTCTAAACGTGGTCAATGAAGTCAAAGACTCGTCATCCTTTGCTCCGTAGAGTTGACAGAATATTGAGATACCAAGAGTAACGATTTGTTGTGGTGTTTTCTCCCATTAGTGAAATCTTGAGAAAGGTGTTGGATACTGTCTGACTTTGGAAACACTTTCAATAGGTGTATCTTTCCTTGTCCAAAAGTAGATGATGTAGTATCACCTCCGCTCCAGGCATGAATGAACAATATATTTTGTCGCACAACTGTGTCTATGACTTCATGGGCTTCACGAATGCTATACAGATCGGCACCATTCTTCTGTGAGCTTGTCTTGCTTTCTTTTCTGATGAATATATCAGCCATGTTGGTTTTCCAATGGTGTATCAGCAATATGAAAATATCTGTCTTCTGCGACAAACAAAGTTGATTGGTTATACTGTGAAAAATCCAGAGCGGCTGATACGATTAAGGTATCTGCATCGCCGTCATTGCATTTGGTGGTTGCTCTTTTGACTGCAGGATACCTACAAGGAGTTCTATGAATTGTGTCTTATTCTTGCTGTTCGTAAAAAATGCCTCTTGATCCCTATGACATTTGAACGCACCAGTGACAGTGATATCAGCTGATCTTTTTGTTGAACGCCTGAGGTGTATATGATCCTTTGTGGATGGCCCTTCATATCCATCAAAGACAACACAACACATCCATACTTATTCAAAAGATAGCATTCGTATTGCTCAGCAACCTCCCAATATGTTGTGTCCTTTTCCCATCGAATGCGTGGTACCTGCCAACCACCATCTATCACAATCGGATTGTCTTTGAGCGAACAAAACGCTTCAAGGTTGGTCATATTTTTTCTTGATCACATTGGCCAATTATGATTTGTCTGTCTTTCTCATATAAGAATCCTTGAAGAGTGATGTAGGTATCGCCGACATTTCATACTTAAAGTATGATTTGATGTCCTCCGACTCACGGTGTGCTAGTGCTGTGCAGCCCGCATGAATAATACAGATTGCTAAAATGGGGACGTTCTTGTTGCCTATTTTAATGCCTGGCAGCAGGGTATTCAATGTACGAGCGTGGTCAGATATTTTTGTATATGTGCGTTAGTTACAGCTATGCCATCTAGTAACTAGTAAATCTTCTGGCCCACCAGTTCTGCATCATCACAGTTGATCCCATCCTTGTCAATTGCCATTAAACCTGTTGTCAGTGACCGTAATGAAGATAGTTCTGTGCTGAACGGGTCATGCTACCCGAACCAGTCAAGTATTTTCCATCAAGTCTCGCTTACACCTGGATTTTCCAGGTTCGACATGTTATTGCATCATGAACAGCGGCGCAATGCAGTACACCCACTGATGTCTCACGCTCTATCATATTAGACGGAGCTACATAGGATCTAAAAATGAAGTGATATGCCAAACAATATAGTTTTAGAATATATATGGAAATTCGTACCCTTTTCTTAGTGGCACCTTCGTGGGTTACAAAAATCGCCGGCGCACTAGAACAGCGTGAAAATATATCTTACACCGCGAAGAATTAAACATACAACAAAAGAGTTTCACAACGCGATTTAAAGATTCACTTAAATTACCTTCTGTTGAAAATTTGCCTCTTTTCTCTTGAGGAAGTCATTTTTATTGTGGACGGTTAGTTAGTCAGTCAATGGATTCTAAATGGCCCGACAACACAGAAGAGGTCATTAGGGCTAAACAATTGTAGCAGTCTTAAAATGCTGTTTTTATTTCAATAAATGTCCAAATCGTTAAAATGCCTTTTACTGACAATGCCCACAGCAACGAAGCCCGGACAACTCAAACGATTAAATTTAAAATCAGATAAATAAACCCCAGAAAACATCGGAATAAAAGCCATTTCTAGTAATTAAATAAACGTATTTAAAGCATTCAGTGTTATAATTGTCTTCCATTGATAGATCAAATCGTAATGAAACAAAAATATATTTTCATTTATGCCAATCAAAACTCATGTTTTGTTCAATAAACAACGCTTTGTTAACCGTATATATGACGTCATCATCGGAATTTCGACCATGTGAGTGATAACTAATGAATTAAGATATAAATGGAATTTTTATTCTACAGACAGTAGCATAAATTACTTTTTTTTACGCAGGTATATGTCTTTTCGTTTTCATTCAATTTTTGTCTCATTATTTACACCGGCCCGTATTGATTTCATAATGTTTGACCTGGCGATGGCGTTTATAGGAATTGCCTGTGCCAAATCCTATTATTAATTGCAGCAATAAAATAACTTTGAAATGAAAGGCAAAAATGGATGAAAATAACACGGAACGAGAACATCCAGAACATACACTGGAAGATATGTTACATTTTCAAAAATAGATTGTAGATACTTTACAAAATATACGTCCGCCCGCTCACGGCCTTACCGTGATTTTTTAATATTTTTATAACGCAGACACTATAACCAATAATCATTAATCTCATGTCGTACATAGGACATTTCTCGATATGACGATAATTAAAAATATGTAAATAAATGAAATCTTCAAAGTATTTCAATCAAAGCTGGTCAATATCGTAGAAGGCGAACCTGGTGGTTGTCTGATTTTTCAGGAAGGCATAATATCGCGCAGGCTTGACAGATTTGGAGTACTGTTTGGGAAATGCGCAATTCAAATGTTTTATTTAACAAGATCAGTTTATTCCTCTCGAAGGTTTTGAAGGATAATTTGATGTATGACTCCTATCTAATGCCATATGTCATCTCATCTCACTCAAACAACCTGATGGCAGCACATGTATGTCTTCGATGGTCTACGACTGATCACGTGACGTCAATGCATTGATAACGTGATGTCATACTATTGTTATGACTGATTCCGCAATTCCACACAAGGCTATCTCACCCAAGAGATTGACAATCTGATCTCTTTCTGGCTTAAAAGAGGGACACAGCTTTGAAGGCTGGGATAATTGACAAGCAACACCAGTGTAATTCAGCTTACATTGAAATGTAAGAGCAACAATTAACATTGGTGTACGAACAGTACAAATGACTGCATCGATGTAAAACAGCTTTACACAATTTGAAAGAACCCGGTGTAAAAGTTACAGTCGACACCGGAGTAACACAGATTAATAGGAACTGTCACGAAACGTTAAGGTTACAATCGGCATCAGTGTATAACAACTTAATCTGAACTGTTAAGGGTTCAAAACAAACGTTGTCATTAACTGTACTTTGCACCTTAATTCGTCTAATCTGATTAAACCTCATATTCATCGACCAATGTTCACAGAACTATCCTGTGTACAAGTGATGAAATAACATACTAAAGGTGGTAACTAGTCACAGCAGAAAGTATAGGTATAAGTATAAGTTACGTAAAAGAGAAAGAAAAGTAATACTCATTGTAATACAACATTCATACCAGGAATTGTATTCATTTAAAAAATGTGTATTCCATGAGGAAAGAATTATACTGAATATAATGAATGGCAATTACGAGATGAAATAAATATACTCATTGTAACGAATGGTCATACAGAAAATGAGAGATTTTTTTTACTGAAGTGAATGGTAAATACAGGAGGAAAGGTTTTAACAAATGTGCTGGATAATATGAAAATAAAGACAAGGTGATGGTGGTGGTGGTGGTGGTGGTGGTGGTGATGAAGGTGATTGTGGTGGTGGTGGTGGTGTTGGTGTTGGTGATGGTGATGATGTTGGAGGTGGTGGTCGTGATGGAGGTGGTGGTGGTTGTGGTGGTGGTGGTGATGGAGGTAGAGGTGAGATGGGTAAGGGATAAGTAGCATAATATACTTGCAGTTTGTGATATCTAGAGGAAAAGTGGGTGTTTCCGCATTGTGAATGGTATAGAACAGTGCAATGCTACATTTACTACCACAAAGAAAAGGAAAAGAACATAATGTTCACAAATAGGCAATCATATGTATTTACTCACAGTATGTACCCGGCCCCACATGGTGATGTACTAGCGCATCAGTCATAACATTTACTCCGGCGTCCTACAATCCAAATTATATATAAGCAGAAATTATTAAAATATGTGTCATATGGGTACTAAGAATTTATTACGGAAAATATAGATATCCTTCACATAAATTCAAAATATGTATAAAGAGTAACCCAGATTTTTGTGGTTTGATTTTGTTGTATTTCTGAAGACACCCTGTGAAATATTATGTCATTAACGCTTGATTCCATCTAATATGATCATTTTGAGGTGCTATGTTTAACAAGAATATTTTCATCTGATAAATGAATATAACGATGCTATTACAGAACCGCTATTGCAGTATTTCTTGTCAAATACTATTCAATTATATAGCAAAAAGGAATGTTTTAATTACTTATTTATAGCTAATTACAAATGTACACAAACCTCATTCCTAAGGGATACATTTTTTTGTGTTATATGAAAATCAAAACCATTGACCAAATCTGGTATAGCGGGAAGCAAAATAGTGAAAGGTGTATCAGTGAATCGGTCAGCTTTTCTAAAATATACGAAAGAACACCGGATATTGATAAATGAAATGTAGATATTTAACGTGGGTTTCTCTCTTGTGTATCATTGTATTTATAAACCCGTGTATAGTAAATAGTTGGTTTAAGAACAGTAAGTTTGTATCCTAGTGGTGAATAACCCAAGGTGTAAGGTGGTAGCTCAGTATTTGTACGTACCTTGAAAATCTGTTCGGCGTCGGATACTCCATAATAATTTGTGAAAGGCCGCCATATCATAGGCACAGGCTCAGGCACGAATCCGATGAATATGTGGCCGCCATTGTTGGAATGTACAATGGTGTCATACGACTTCAGTTCATCAACGACCTATAAATATTTATGTACGTTTTGAAGAAAAAAAATATCTTATCAAAATAAGTAGAGAAGTGGATGGATGGGCGTCCATATCGTGTTATACGATTTCAGTTCATCATTGACCTATACATATATATCTATAGACAGATACACATGCATAGGGCCGGAAACATTGTGATGCGCAAAACATACTAATTACAAACAAATATTGCATCTACATCAGCGTAAATACAAATGCTAATTCTGAGGGGAGTGGTGAGGATCGGGTGGAGGGAGGGTTGGGGATGGCACCAGATATATGAACAAGTAAACCTAAACTAGAATCTTATGAAGATACTGAATATACAAGGAAGCTTCATCTTTAATATTATGAAAAATATGCAAAAATACTAGCATAGTTGCTCTTCCATTCGACTAGGTCCAACTTTATGCATATCTGATGTCATTTAAACATGTGTAGTATTTATACCTGTCTACTTCTAAAAATGGTCCTTATAGGGCCAGGTGTATATAGGTATCTAAGTATCTTATACTCTATAAGTAGTACCTTACTACGCAATAGTTCAATGATATTGGAACGTTTTCAACATTTATAAAAATAAACATGCAGAATATGTTTCACAAACTTGGATACAAACAAGTAACGTAATCACACAGTTGTTAACCGCAAATGTTACCTCTGTAGGCGTGATGTCATTTCCGCTCTTAAGGAGAAGCACACTCTGATCTACGGCTAATAGGTTGACGACGGAGTTAGGATCAGCTGTAACGTCAACATTGATTCCTTCACCAGGCTGGGCTTTGGTTTTGTCGAACCGAATGGATACCTACAATCGTCATTGTTTTTTAATCATATTCTTACCATGGCAAACTTTGCAAACTAATGCATTTGATGTCTTTAACATGTTAACCAACATTTTACTTACCTTTTGAATTTGATGCACAGTTTTAACCCAGTATCTTAAAAACGTAATAACGCTTCATTAGTTTTCCATTAATAAACTATTGCCAAAAATAGACGGGAACCAAGTAATGTACCACATATTTAAGCTTGCATTAGACCCTCTTGGTTTTACTCAAGTTTGAATTAAACTAAATACCTAATAGCAGGGTGAAAAAGGAAACGCATATACGTTTTGTTTTTTTATCTTAACTTTTCGTTAAACGAATCTTGTTGTGCCTTTTCCACCAAATTATAAAAATCCAAGCAACACTGACATAACAAACTACTTCACCTTACCAAAACGATTGTCACATCAGTAAACTCCTATTGCATAACGATTCAGTCAAAATTGACATAAAACAGAATGCCTCGAAAGTCAGAAGATGAAAGAAGAATGGCTATTGTCCTACTTTTGAATAAATAGCAGCAACATACCATCGCCTAAACGTTCGCGTACAGTGATAAACAAATTTCAATTAAGACATGCGTCTGAGACGTATGGGAGGTTAGTAGATCGACCATGGAGTGATCGTTCTTGTGTAACCTCGCGACATAAGGGCAGATGTATACGTCTGTCTCATCTCCCATCTCTGTGCAAATGTTCCATACTTTAGGAGGTGTGGAATAACATTCGTATACCCCAAAAAGGCTGATGCAGTCTATGGCTAGAGGTACATGCAGTAGGTATCGCACACGGCGGACACACGCGGTGTTGAACTGCCATGAGGACTTAAGAAGGGTCATACTATTGCAACGAGGTTATCGCAAAGCCGCATGTGTTACCGCAACAAACAAACAGAGGTATTGAGCTTAAAGGGTAAAATTAGCTTTTAAATGTAGTTGTATTAACAGATCTACTACAACATTTAAAACAAAATATGCTGTAATAAAAATGCGTTTTTTTCTGCTAGTATATGATCAAATTTACCTCGTTTTCAAAAGTTCCAGAAACGTCAAAGCTTATGCTGTCTGTGACGATTTCTCCATCAGCTCTGACGTAGTACACAACGATTTTCGCATTTGGTGCCATCTTAGCATTCATAGGGACGTGGAATGTGAATTCTTTTGCGTTGTTGCCATTAATAGATCCTGACACTGCGATACTTCCTCGGCCAAACACCTGGTTATATACGTCACATTGTCAGCACACAAGGACAACATTTAGACTCAAAGTTTATAAATAATAGACAATAACAGGAATCAGGTAGAAAGAAAAAAAGGAAGAACAAAATGGACCCCAATTGATAATCCGAGGAGATACAGGATTATACAAAATGGTACGTAGTTTCTGCACCATGTGCGAACCCGGCATGATGTCTTCATTCAAATAATGGCTATACAAGACACAGCAGATCTATTTAACCTTGATGAATCTTTCAAAAAGGATCTGCAATGTTATACCTCGATCTTTAGAAGCAATTTTAACCTTAACTCTCACCTGATAAATTAACTTGTCGATTGGTGAGGTGGACACTACTCGGAAATCCACTACTTTGTCATGGCCAGCCTTCAAAAGCCACAAAAAAACAAGACGTCAGTTTCTTTTTATTCTCATCTTCTGTATTCTCGGGAATTCCCGCTGCAGTATAATTTCCGCCTTTTTTGTTCTTGCAGTGAGGGCGAATTAATCGTCACAGCGATTAGCAATAAACAACATGATATACTTAGTAACTAAACGTGCAGGGCGAAAGAAAAACTGGGCGAATATGGATTTTACCGGCGAAGGGCGAACATGTCCCGGTATACAGTATGTGAACGTTGAAATTAATATTTTGTAAAGACAGACAATGTAATTGACATGGAATCAAGAAATATTTCTCAATTTTTATGAATACCTCTACCTGTGGGTATATGTGTTGTTTGATCTGGAGAGAAATAAAAGACTCAAACGTATATTTGTTTTGGAAAGATTTTGCAGAATACTTTTGCTAAAATTGTTCTGAATAACGAAGGACCAATGATATAGCTTGATTCCTGAGTGATATATTATACTACGCAACAGTTAATATACATATCAAGTAAATACTTTGTCGATTTTTTGTCTTAATTCATTATTTAAAAAAACAATTTTGATCAAATTGTTGTCATTTTTTTCTTTGTTAAAATATATTGAAACGAACGTATTTAATAATGTTTCACATCTGAAAATATCCTTTGTTATAATATATCAAAATGTGAAAGACAAACCCTTATATTGCATGGAAGGTAGCATTTAAACTCACCTGTAGGTTATTCGACTCCAGGAATATCTGCATGAAGCTGTCCGAAGGAGAATAGCTCTTTGACGGGTATTGATATGGCGTAATTTGGCTATCATACTTAAACTGAAAAGAATATATAACAGATTTTTACAACACTATCTAAAATTGAGCCGAAAGTTCAATGTAATGAGAAAGCATTTTTTTCTTCAGAATATAAAAGGAATATCGTATATCAAATATTCATTTAAGATCGAATTAAAAATACATTTATGACGTATGAAGTACTTGATAATATGTTAAATTCAACCTTTTTTGCAAGGCATCCTCGGTCCCAGGTGAAATTTCGTAAGTGCGATTTGCACCTGGGATCGAGAATGATAGAAAAGTTGTATTTAATAAATATAGATACGTGATAACTTTAATGACAGAGATGTTTTGCCTTAGAGTGCGAAATGTTATCCCATATGAATTATACTTTTTTAAGACTATAAATTTAGGCAGCAATCGTATTTGTTATGACTGACATTGACCAATTGTTGGCATTATCGATATTATGAACTCATTATGAAACATTGGCTACCTCTTTCTCTTCTTGGACAGTGACTGTTCCATAAACATAATACATTTATGTACATCGCATATGTGTTTCATTAGCGCTAAAACCTTACTTTTAATCAGTTTATTTTGCATAACTTCTGGTAAATGGAAACATTGATTTGATTACAGTAGGAAATTACAAGCATTGTGTATGTCGGCTTGAAACTTACTAGTTTCCACTTCATGGTACGTATCATTTGTTGAAAATAAATGCCAATTGAATACATTTTAATTTTTGGAAATATGGAAAGTTCCCAATTTCATCGGATGTTGAAAATAGCAAGATAGATAAAACTGAGTTATATATGACAATTTCCCAAATACTGTAGCAATCAGGTAGCAATAAATTATTGTTCAGATTATCAGTTTAGGAAATATTCGATAATAATATCATAATGTCCCTAAACAAAAGTAGTACTGTAGTGGTTATATTCACACAACATAGAGATATGAAAGTAATTTGTACGTTTAAGGAAATACTGGTTGCATTGTGTGGAATGTCGATCTTAGCCTGGACAAGTCCTGTATCTGTGACAGTGAAGCTCTGATCAGGCAGTTGATAGTTCATTGTTCGTGGATAATAGTAATTTATAGGTGTAGCTGTCTCAGGCAGGATGGTTGTTACCCTCGTATGTACGATTAACGACTTGTTGGAGCCCGCGGCCAATGGCATGTCATCTTGTTGGACCACTTTGGCCTACAAAATAATACACAGGTAAATAGAAAAAAAGAAGAAGAGAAACGAAAACTCACCTACAATCAAACCTGCTCGAGAGACCACCTCTTTAAAAAAAAAGCACCTATGATAAGCGAGCACTTCATATATTTTCAAAAGGTAGTTTTGGAACACAGGCTTGAGTAAGTTTATTTGTGATTAGAAATTTCCGTTTTCCTGTATTTGCCAAAGCCATATACATAATACATTACGAGTCCATTCAAATAGCATGTACTCTGTAAAATCACTACCATTGATGGTTATCTAAAATGAATTTTATTTTCTAAGCAGGCGTCATTGAATATTAATGAGTTTCAGACTATCACATATACGATACATCATCACTTGCCTCGTGAAAGTGAAATCCGCATTTTTCGTGTACTTCACGTGCGAGAAAATGTGTAAATCCTCGTCTTTAACTAATTCTAACTGCGCTAAATACAGATACAATTGCGTTTTTGGTCTTATCTCAAGGTATTGACTACTTCTTCCATTCGTATACAAATTTTAGAGCTAACATGTGCTTATCAAGAACATATGTTAAATTATATATATAACGCAAACAACGAACAATCAAATGACATGAGAATAAAGTGATCGTCAATAGAATACTCACGTCAGTTTATCATATCGTGTATACATGGATATCCATTGTTAATTGATAACTTATCAGTATTGACGTACTTCTCTCTTTGTTACATTGATGGACCATCTTCAAAATTCCCTTTAACTCTCACTTGAAAGCCCATTGAATAAGTAAAATGTAAGCTAGAGATCGACTTAAAGTAGTGCCACTTGGATAAAGCGGTCTATGACCTACTATGGAATTTGTGTACCAAATACAATAATCTATTTAGCTTGATCTCAAATATTTGGTTACACTTTTGAAGATGCAAGGACTACGTCGGTTTAGGAGGAAGCATAATGATACAGAGATATATCCAACTCTCGGGGTGATTTTTGTTGGTTCTCTAACCCTCGGCAGAGCCTCAGTGTTAGTTCGAGATTTCTCTGTTACACCCTCAAGGTAGGGGATGATTATTTTTCTCCCATCCTATTATTTCAGTCACAATTCCACCGACAGTAGTCTGCCATGTTTGTAAAAAAAAATAAAAAAAATGAGGGGTATGCATATCGTCATTCACTTTTGATGACGTCACAATCATTGGTGACACATTTTATGACGTCATAATTGAACACGTGCTTATCGACACGAGGCTATCTCCCACTAGGGGGTGATAAGCTTATCTTTCCCGGTTAAGACGGGAGACACGCCTGTGAAGGGTGGGAGAGAAAAAATGGTTAATCGTCCATTAGCCAACTTATCTTGAGGAAGTTTCTGCATATACCCTATCAGAACTATACTACATGCAGGCTTTAAACACCTAGTTTCAGACTAGATTTCTAGATGACATATTCAAATAGTAAACAAGGTTACACTTACAAAAGCGATGTACTGAAGACCAGGCTTAAATGGTGTATGGATGGACGTAAGAAGTTCTATCTTCTCGGCGTGGGTGTAGAAATACACCTTACTAGTCCCGTCGAGAGTAATCTGTGTAAGACTCTCTGTAACGTTGGCCTCTACCACGACGTTACGGCCGTTTACTGAGGTATGGTAGGTGTGACTGGTCAGTCCCGACACAGGCAGTGTAAACTTGGCTTCCCCGTTGATCTTAACACATTATCATATTATTGTAATTAAAATTATTTCATAAAACGCTCATTAATAGTGAATAAACATTTATCTTAAACTGACAAACTGGCAAAGCGAATTTGAAAAATGAACTAAAGCACATATTTCCTTCTTGTGTAAAAGTTTACGGACAATATCTGAATATGTAGCCGACTAACGTGTTGCTACTCTAAGATAATATTTCTTTATTACCAAAATAATTAAACTTTTTAAGTAGATACTAATACGCAATTATTGTTTTATAATTACTGAAATAAAGGACGACTTACGTCCATTGTCAGTTCGATGGTTGGAATAGGTGTCGGATGATAGTGTAATATGTGGGCTCGGATTTTCACAGTTCCATTCACCGGCTTTCCATAGGAATATCTGTGATAACAGGGAAAGGTTTCAATGTATAAGAAGAATATATTGAAGGCATCAGGCATTGTTAAGTGATCCAGGTTAAAAGTTGAAAATTTTGAAATTATAAAAACTATTCAGAATTGCACAAAAGTGACATTTAAAAATTGTGACAGTTTTGAACAGTGCGAATAATCTGTTCAAGGGACCATCTCAATCGAGATTAGGGGGGTCATAGACTCTCGCACATCTATGACCAAGTATTAAACAAAGCGTAGCTGAATCGAGTCATTTCAGTGCATATATAACAACTATTGTACATACGCTTACAGCGTAGCCGAATCGACATTTTACACCTTTGTGTGCATACGTTTTACTGGTCATTTGTCTGATGAAAGTTACAGTGTACATACCGTACTAGTCATCGAAACGTCGCATAGAATCTCTTATTGGTTGTATAAAAAGAACTTTTCATAATCCATACTAACAAACATGCAGAAAATGTTTAGAAATATCATATTCAAAGATATTAATACTGACAATTATGTATAAGAGTTGGCTAATTTATTGAGTATCAAATTTACATGTGTTAAAATGACCGTTTTTGGTGTTAAGTCATGCACAATTTACGATAAGATTCGAATAACGATGAAAAAGTTATATTTTGAGAAAACAAACCAATTACTTCTCTAAAATATTCATTTATTATAAAATATGATGAAGAAGTCAATTTGCCTCCTGTACGTTGAACAATAAATACAATGGTTGAAATCAAAATTATCAAAATTTACCCGCATCTGATCTGTGCTAGTTACTGAAAAATGTAAATAGTTTGCTATAACGGTGAAATACACAAGGCAAAGGTATATCCTACTGTTATTGACAACGAATTTTGGACAAACATAGGAGTGAAAAGTTTCCCAAGTAATTCCTAAAAGCATGGCAAAATCTTCATTATAAGACATATTACGGTTGTAGTAATTTATAACTTGATATCATCACAACTTACTTTGCCTTCACTGTTCCTTTAATGTCTGTTGCTGACGTCAACTCATACGACGGCAAGTCAACGATTACTTCGAATTTCGGTAAGACTAGAATCAGAATAAGGTTTACATCATATAAACGTCTTTTGTCAGGCCACGTCAATTTATATCGGAGTAGTTTCACTTATACAAAGTTTAATGATATGCCATTCTTCCACAATCGTCCCTGTACATTAAATTTTACAAATCATCCATTTAAGGAAAGAAGTGTTTGTCAAACACACGTGCTAATTAAAATATTGAATTACACCTTTATTCGTTTGTTTTGTTTAAAGTCAGAACTATGGAATGTAGCGGTTCTACAACCTCCCTTCGAATTCATCATAACAATTTTGATTTTGTGTTTTCCTTAGACACGTTTTGTAACTCCTGCTTATGTCAGTCTCATATTAGATTATCCATCCATATGTTTTAATGTATATGTTTAATGAAAGTATATGTCAGTTTCCCAGTGATTTTTAATAGTCAAAATACCATGAAGTTTCGGGTTGAAAAAAATCAAGTCTTATGGGTCATCGTTTACAAATCAAGTAACTGTAGCAAGTACCACGAAACTATATCAATTAAATAATGACAATTCTTAATATGTTATTTCTAACCTGTTCCGATTTAATTATTTGAAAAAAGTAGATGTGATCACATGAGCACTACTTACCATAGTGAGCAACTGCAAACATCTTGTCTTTGGTCAAACCCTAAACAGATGTCGTCAAATATATCTAAGTATGAAATAACTACTAATGATCTATGGAATGTTCTATATCACAAAATAAGAAAATAAATACATGATTGCATAATCTTTTCAGATTAAAGGTCTGTATATAGAGTTAAAATGTATTAATATCAAACGTGTTATTGAAGCGATTCTTAAAAAGCTCCATAAAAAAAGAAGAACTAATGTTCATTCTAAATTTACGAATATATAGAACTGCGACAAAGTAATATTTCTTATATATAATATGTTAATATTTTCTCGAGTATATAATGTATGAGATAATCTTGACATGTACCGTAAGGATTACCACATTATCACATTAGTGCGTATGTCCTATACAAATTACCTTTCTGGTGTCATATTAAGACCCTACGCGGAACAAAAACAACATTATACAATATTCATAACATGTTTTGACTGCTTACGTGTGTCTTGACACGGATTTTCCAGTCTCCCAGTACCGGTTTCGTGTCCATTGCCATAAAATTAGTAAGTACCCCGCTGGCGTCTTTCAGTCCAAACCATTGCTTAATTTTATTGCTGTTTGGATCCTGCGTAAATAAGCATATATAACGATATATGAACACTCGGTTGATCAACATATCACGTATAGTATGCACAAAGCACCAAATTCTATATTCTTAAATATTGTTTTATGCCACCTGACAAGTATGCTTTACTCATAACGTTATTGGAAGATAAACCTTTATGGGTTTGTTACTTTAACAATGATCATTTTCGTTGGTCAATGTAGTAAAATATAAGTAAATAGAAATACTTCAAATTAGTAATGTATTGATAATCGAACATAGTTACAGCATCAATAGTATGATCTATATGAATTGTTTTCAACTAAATTATGCCATCTGCATTGTGTTCATATTGGCCTTAAAACCATTAAGAATTTAAATTAAGTAATTACAAGTTACCTTATAGATATAGATAGAGGATATTTGATGGTGTCGTATGTAATAACAAATATATTTCAGGAGTGTGGTTAATATTCTGATATTTTACACGAGTGCGCAGCACGAGGGAAAAATATCAAAGTATTAGCCACACGAGTGAAATTTATTTGTTATTACTGAAGACACCATTAAATTTTCTATTTTTTACATTTATAAAGCATAAAACATGAAAAATGTAATGCATTAAAAAAGGGCGGGAATCAGGAGCGTAATAATTACCGCCATATCCTAATGACGTCACACTTGACAACAAGGCTGCGCGCTATTTTGAATGGTATACTCAACGCAATTCCGACTTTTTCTGCTGTTTCTGGTATTATTGCTTATAAAAATGTTACTTATTGTATATTTATGTAAATACTTCAGTGTGTGTACCAAACATTTACCATAACAACCACTTATTCTACCGTCGCTTCATAAATCGTTGCCATTGAATACACCGTTATGATTGGTCAATATAAAAAATGCTATTTTCACACTGTGAAAATATCACTTTTGATATTTGTCACAGTGTGAAAGATATCAGCTTTAGCAAAATGATAGAATCAGATATTTCACTGGCAAAAATGTAATGATACGTTTATATCACAGAGATTATTTCATACTATAAAATATACATCAATAACGAAGTCGCTTATCGTCAATGTGCAATATCAACGCCATACACAGCGTTTACAGCATATTACTTATAAACGTGGTGCGAAACTTACCTAATGCAGATAGTTATTTATAATTTACATGAACGAAATGGCTATTGAACATTTCATACATTAGTACCTGAAATCTTAGAAAATATACACATAAAAAACACAAGACGGAATTTTGAGATTGCAACTCACGTAAATCTCAATGTCCATGGGCCCACTGTAAACTGTCAAATTGGGATAAATGGCGAATGTTCGGAAATTGACTGAAATGACAGATGTTATGAATGAATAATTTCTGAAACAAATACTAGCAAATGCATTATGTTAAACAGAGTACACCAGTGTCAATTTATGTTTCAAACCTCAGACATGAAGGCATATATCTATTGCTAGAAGATACTTAAAATTTGTGGCTCATGTGTATCTGGTGAATAGTCTTTTTTAAGTGTGGTTCTCAGTATAATGTGTTTCTTTTTGTCAAAGAAACATTTTGTATGCGTTGTAAATTGTGTTGTTTATGAAAAGTGAATAATAGAAAAAATATCTTCAAATCAAACTCGTCTCGTTTGTCGGTGAGGTGATCATCAGTGTATATGTGTATGCAAATGCCGGGGGTATGAAGCAAAAAACAGAACTTTTAAGTTTATTTAATATCAAATGGGGGATAAAACATATGCAAGTTTCTTTTTGAATTTTTTTCTTCAGAAAACAAATAAGTATATCTGAATGTGAAATTTAGGAATCGAGCAAGTGTCTTCTTTTTATGTGGAACCAGTCATGTGAAATCAGCCACAACTTATCTCCATTGGAATAACGATAATCTTGTTAAAATATCCTCACCAAATGAAATAATATATAATTCAATCTAAGCATTAAGAAATCATGTGGTTATTGTGGAGAAGTAATAAGTTCAACAGAAGTTACTTCTGACAGACGGTGCTTCAAGGCTCTCGAGAATTATTGAAAATCCACAATAAACAGGAACAGTGTCATGGTTTGTTTTAAGTTCGTTTTGTTTTTAAGATGTGGTTCAGAGTCTTGAAAACGTTGTGGTTGTGATGATTTTTGTTTTTTATTCACAGTGGTTGGCAAATAGCTCGTCTCTGTAACGTGTCAGTGTGCTTTACATACAGTCCTTCCATACCATAAAATTAAAAACAACTCGGCAAGCTTACCTGTTTGGCCAGGTTTGTACATGGCTTTATCCGTCTGTATAAAGATAGACATGCCCTTGGAAGCGTAATGAAGATTTGTTTTGTCTGTGAAAGTGAGACCATTGGAACCTTCAACTGTAAGCTGGTACGTCCCGATTGGAATCGTATCTGGGACCTAGAATAGTGATACAAAACAGGGTTTATCAACATCATATAAGTTGATATTGAATTCACAACAAGCCATAATGCTTAGTCTTAACAATAGATGATAGTTCATCTTATTGAAGAATTGTCAACTATAAAATGTATCTTTTTTTCTCGGACGAACAAGAAAACACTTTCCAAAGGAAAACTTTCGACAGATTATTCACACAATAAATGGTTTATTTTCTTATATCAAATGAAAAGAATGCTTACCATAATTCGCATGGTGTCAGGGACATCTGAAAATCATTTACATGTTTCTTTTATTTTTGATGCAGGAACATACAGGGTAAATGAAAACAATCGCTTATTTCTGAATTGAAGTCATTAATTTTCCTATGACACAAATAAATAACAGTATACTGGTCAGGAAAAGGGTTTCAGTCTCTGAAAAAAAGACTTCCCGAATTGTTAATCAAAACAAACTTTAAATCGTATAGGAAATTATTTTCGAGACTGCAACTCAACTAAGCAATGAACTTTTCTAATCAGAAAACCGACTTGCAAAAATATCGGAAACCGATTCTCAAAATTGTCTTTGGGCCATTTGTATTTTTCAACACAAAAGAAACTGTCAACTTGGTGTAAAATATCTACATTTAAATAAATATCTAGTCACGCAGACTGAAATATGATGGCTACATACGTTGTTGGAAAGTTGCAGACGAAGAGGCTTTCACCGATTTGTCGGTCACACGGATGAGTTTAGCTGTGACGTGCACATCGCCAGTCGCATGTAGAATATTGACACTGATGTTCAGGGGCACTCCCGGGCGGACGTCTTTAGGCGTAATAACGACATAAGTGCTAAAAGAAAAAGATACTTGTATTCTATTATCTTTTTATTTTGCATGATGTTAACATTTATTACATCCATATTGACAATCAATCAAACAATAGTTTGTATAGAGTTACCCCCCTTAAAGATAAAGACAGTGCATTACACATTTTACTTGTGATAAGTGACAAAATTAAATGTAACGTTTCTGCCTCAATATTGATTCTTTAATTTTCTTAAACATATTCGTCCAGATTTGCATTAGCGAAGTCTAACGTAATATTTATAAAAGATCATTTGCATGTTTGTAAATCATGTTTCTTTTCAAAATTCATTTAATTTGATTTCTCCATATAAAAATGTAAAATGAAACTGACATTATATATTAAGTAATTTCCAACAGCAATAAAACTAGAAAGAGGAATAGAGAAAAGATAACATAACCAGGTATTCTATATACTCTGAAAGGGTAGCGTGTATCTAGACCTTCAGTTTATTTAACAAAAAGGATTAAATTACGACAGTTTAGAAATAACCTTCTTCCTTTTATTAAAACCAGAATCAAAAATCTATATTTTATCGATACAATAAGACTATTAACATAACTTAATAAATCATTCAATTGTTTTACAAGACATAAATCTGTGCAGTTTATCGCGACTTCCGTATTATTGAGCTGAATAAATATATGATGTATTCATAAAGAAAAACACACTATAATGTACATCTCGAAAATATGATTAAATATATTATTGTATTCTATAGCCAGAAATAGTACATAGTAAGGGCCTAAGATTATTTAGATAATGAAATACATCTTTTATTTGTTATAACCATAATAAAATCATTAAATTTGGTACACGTTGATAAGATGCTTAGAATATATACCCTTTTACGTTTTTATAACTACAAAATAATTCTGTGTTATTATAATACCATTTTTAGAATTACTTTTATAACAAGAAATACTTGTGTACACTTATGTACACATTGGCATTGTACCTTGTACTAGATAACGGTAATTTGTTTTGTATAAGTACAAGGTAGTTGATTATTTTATTGATCCAATTTCATAAAGACGATGTCTTAATAATACTAATCTAGACCGATGATCAAACGGAATTCAAGTTCATTCTAGCTGGACATATGTTATAGTTTCGACAACTCTTTTTATCAAGTGACTACTGTATACTGGATTGGTGAAACCTATCCCATCTAAGTAACTGTTTTTTTTTATATAGATAAATCAGTGTAGGTAAATGATTCTTCATTATAACTACGGTATGTTTTAATCATGGAGTAATTCCCGACTTAATTTCTCTTGGTGTGAAATAGTTCATTACGCCTTAAATCTCCCTGTCGTTTACTCTCAAAAATGACGACTGGACGAGATGTTCAGAAGATCAGTTTACGCCGATTAACACTATTTAAACTATTTTTTGTAAAATCGTATATGCTGCTGATCCAAGATCAGCCAATAACGCATCATATGGAAATAAATTATTTGTTTTCCTCGTTTTCTTAAGAAATTAAATTGCTCCATGTCCCAATAAATTAATAAGAACTGTTATTTGTTATATAACACAGTGTTATATTGAATATTTTTTTGCCAGATGATTAGAAAAGAGTTCATCAATTCCGAAGTAGCTATCTTTATGCAATGTTTTTGCAGCTTAAACATTTTAGACCTGATCATCTGCTTATATGATTAACTGTTTGTAAATACATTGTAAGTTACTTTAATTAGACAATACCAAAACATGTACTGACAGAATTGATATTTATTTGTTCTATCATAAAATATTAAAATATTTATATATTTTTTTTTGTACTTACTCTTTAGCCGCAGCTATCCCCAACAAGAGGGTTATTAAACCGGCCAAGAGCATTTTTATCTGAAACGAATGTATAATAAATATTTTAATATACTTGTAAATATACACAAAACATATCAATGAGTTCATTTGGTTAAACAAAAGAAAATAATTGAAATTGATACTATTTTTCAAAGTTGCGTAAAATTTCCGGAAATATTTCACTTTTGCTTTTGATATTAATATGTATATAGAGGTTACACAACGAGTGGTTGGTGAAAATGGTAAAAAAATTACCATATTCAACAACCACGAGTCGTGTGATCTGTTTCTACCACAATCTCAGTCAGAAACAGCTGGAGTATTTCCTGATTTGAATAGCATACACACATTTTGTTGACATAACTGGCGTAGTGATATGACCCATATGTAAAAAGTCACTCATTAATATTCAAAAATGACTTTATTTTTTACAAATTTAATAATTTTCAAAATTAATGTTTCAGCAACAACTTCGTTAAAAAACAAAATAGATGAACGACTTTAAATATTGAGAGTAGCAATATTGTAATTAATATAAATTAACCGAGGACTATATGCGCGTTAATTAATATAAATTAACCGCGGACTATATGCGTGTAAGCATATCGTACGAAGTCTGCCTCCCGCCAAGTGATGAAGACGAACTAATCGCTGTCAATGTCCAAAACCGTAGGCCTGGGACGTTTCTTCATGAGGTTCTATGGTTGGCGTTTATAGTGAGAGTTCCGCCATGACAGGCCCTCCAAATATTGATAACGGGCATGGGGAGAACGAAATATTTTCCGACACTGTTACAGATCTTGTTTGGGTTTCACAGAGACATATGCTATATATTATGTCTCTGGGTTTCACGACATGGACACGCGACGGTATGGCGTCGAAACGATATCGAGGGTCTGTAGCAATTTTGCCTGAAACAAGCGATCAAATCTTTAAGCATCATTTTCTTTTGGTATTGCCTTAATAACCCCCTTTTCCCATCACATAACCTCACAAAAGTCACCAACATTTGCCAGATGTTGACAGCAGACGACGTAAACAAAGAAGCACGCGGCAAAAAGCGCGTGAAAAAAGTCTCCCGGTCAAGCTTTAGGTTCATCTTCACGACCAATCAAAACTACGGAAGGTCATATACCACGTGTGGTGTATAACTCATATTTATTCAACAGTCTGCGTGTTTATACAATGATCTGAGAGTGGAATAACACAGCGTATTGGGGTAGAAATAGAAAATAAACAATAGACGGAGATACATATGTAGTATTTAATTCCGTTATTCTTAATTTTCATTGCACTAATGAAAATCAAATATTTAAAAGTGTTTAAGTCAGTATGAGGATACCTGGCAATCAAGACGCCTTACCTGTGAGGTATTCCCTCTGGATGACCAGGGAAAAGCTGACCTCGTTGTATTTATACTCAATCCCACGTAACAGAGGTTGTATGACGTGTTGATTGGCAAGTGCTTTCTGCAGTCGTCATAAAATATTAACCTTTATCTCAACAGGATGCGCCACTCGGCTCTTATGTGGTGTTCTGTCACCTCTGATGAGCCCTTATCTATATCTTCACTGTCTGGAAACGTGTGGTCCTCGTTTTAACAGCCATTCAGTACAACCTTTGTCGGGTTGTCGAGAAATACTTATATAAACCCAATGCTAGGGTATATTGCCAAACCTGTTTTCAGCGACCATTTTCGGGAAGTCCATAAATTTATATAGAGTTTAGGTGGTCTCTTGATACAAGTTCAATCAAAATGAAAATTTACAGCAATGGTGATTTTTCAGTAGTCTATTAACAAAGTTGATCTATTAATCGAGTTGGTCTCTTGAGCAGGTTTGACAATACTGTTAAATAGATTGAGAAATACATTTTCTTTTTCAATCGGAAGGAATCGACCATCATTACCAATTCCAATTTCTATTCATACACTTTCACTTTTTTTACAATAAATATAATGTATATAAACATTATTTCTTCATTTCAAATACTCGTAAATACGTCGACTGAAAACAAACGCAACACAATTATACAATATAAATCTGAGAAGGTTGGTTTGGTTTGGTTTTATTTTGTTTAACGTCCTATTAACAGCTAAGGTCATTTAAGGACGGCCTCCGCTGTGTGCAAGATGCATGCGTGTAGTGTATGTGTGTGAATTTGAGAAGAGACCGATAGAAGAGGAATTGTTATCCATAATTATACGATATATTTTTTTCAAAACCTTCTGAAATCATGTATGTTTGATAAATGTGTTTGATCATAAATATCTTGATAAAACAAAGACAATATCAATAGAAAAATGCATATTTTTGTCATAGGAATGAAATGTAAGTAGTAAATCACTTTAAATCAGAGCATATAGACAGATTCGATCTATCTACAGCTGTCTATGGTAATTATTTTTTATATATAATCTTTTTGAAATAAAGACTTGGAAGACATATTAACAGTGAAGATTAAAATATGCTCAAGATTTAGGTTGATAGCGGATTGATGACTGTAAACTGAGATAGCTGATGAAATCATTTTTGTTTTGAGTCGTGTTTAAGTTATGAAAAGAGCTTTCAAATTGTAACCAATACTAGTATTTTCTTTCTTTCCTATTTCATTGATTTAAAAGAAAACCATTTATTAATACAACACAACAAACAGCTTTGAAGATTTCTTTTGCTGTTTTAATATTTCAACTTTTGATAATATGTATAAACTGCAAATACATGTGCTGAAAATTGATGTAAATGGTCCCAAAGAGCTGCTTTGGCGTTGTCCCATGTTATCTAAATTGTCAATAAAATATTTAAAATCGACATCACATTGCTACATCGTCATGGGTGTAATTAAAAAATAAACAACACTATCAATATGTACAAGATAGGTTTTATGATAGCCAAGGTGAAAGAGTACACAACTTGAGATAAGACCGACATAGTCCGTGTGTGTTCAACCGCTCACTTTATCAATAATATTTATGTAAACCTGTCACCGGTGCTGAATCACAAATCCAATTCTTCAGATTATAACGGGGTTACATCAGGGACAAAATACTGTAACACAGTACTAGAATAATTTTAAAAGAAAGATTTTATTTTATTATTGGGGTGGGGAGAGTTCATTCAAAATCATTTATGTTATGGACAGGTTAGTATTGAATAAACAATAATAATTATAATTTAAGTTTCTTGTATACCACTTTATCACAGCAGGTCGTCCCCAACGCGGTCCACAAATCATTAGCCGTGGTCATTGTGCAGTTGTTCTTGACGTCTTATTGTTCCGGTGTCTCTTGAATTCCTTTGCCGTCTTATTTTGTTCTCATTGGCATTACAGCGTGTTAAATATTTGACAACCGTATCAACTTTGATTTTAAGATCATATTAAGGTTAACTTTCATTATTTGTGAAATTCTAGTCTCTGTTGCTTATGAAGGTTATATGGCATTTGTTTTGACAGGAAACATGTTTCAAGAAAATGCTGATACTGAACCTAATCAAAGTTAGAAAAAATTATCTTGTACGTCAACTCCATAAGCAGTGGATGTAAAAATGGTACAAAATCTAACTCAAAAATGTTATCGATATCCATTAGCAGAAGGCCGGATTTTTGCTACTGAAAATAAATAAATATGAACGATAGCTGAATCAAAGCCATCACGTTTGTTACATTGCTTGTTAGGAGACACGGTAGTATAGTGGTGGGACGCTGGGCTCTTGACAAAAGGGTTCCAGGTTCGCGTCACTGCACGGCACGGCGCTGTGTTGTATCCTTGAGCAAGATACTTTATTCCGCTTGTTCCAGTTTACTCAGCTGTAAATGAGTACGTGGTTGGGCAGTGCTAGAATTGTAGAATGCTAGCTGTGAGCGCCGAAATGGCAGCACCGGCTGTATGCTCCCTAGGGAGTTTAGAAAGATATTGGCTGGTTGCAAAGGCCCTATAACAACGGATAATAATTTGTGAACCAGTTTGAGACGACATACGGACAAGGTTGTGATAAAGCGGTATATAAGAACCTCGAATTATTATTATTAGTGAGGTAACAATTTGTGCAGTCATGTAAGTTAATGTCAGGATATGAAGTTGAAACAGAGTATCTTTATTTAACGAGATTTCGATTCAATATGCTGTTCAATGATAACGTTGTATCAGATTTTGATTTCCTTCGATAACATGCAACAATATATCATGTTAAAAGAAATGTATAAAAATATGCGTAACCTCTTACATATACTGGTATTTGAATCGGTTAGCCCTGAATTTTCTTTCTTTTCTCTTGTGTGTTTGTAAAAAGTGTTATTCAGCTATTATATGTGCATGTATAAATACTGCTAGGAAACTATAATAACATAGTACTTTGCACATAATGCTTCCTCTATTGTTTTTTTCTTCTTGTTGATTTAGGCTGATTTCTCGACGAAATATCATCTTTACTCATTTAATCATTTGATGACAAAGGCATACGTGATATATTGGGTCAACACTATACAGTGACCCGGAAACGCGCAAGATAAGGGGAGTTGTTTATCACCGTTAAATAAACAAAACACTCTACTTCAAGGTTAGCGACCCATTTAAAGGGCAATTCGGTTATTTGTTTATTGAATAGACGCAGTTTCGTTAGTGCTTTGCTTGAAACTTAATCATTTAAAAAAACATATGTTTCTCTTTATACATTGGTCCCTGTAACTAATAACTAATGTTCTGGATTGAATGAAAACATCTGAATTTTGGATTCTATCAAACAGTAACAATTTGCTGAATAATTTTACAAGAGATATGGCCATTGCTTTCATATCGTTTGAACCAAACGAACCCATCGACCCCAGAAAATGATATGACCCGTGCCTCCGGTCAGAAACGTATATATTATATATATTAATAAGGCTCAAGTTCAAGGTAAGTATGCATTAATATTATATATATTAATATGTACGTCTCTGTACATGTATTGCAAAGTTATATACTGTGTTACACATTCAATTTTATGCAACACTTATTTGCAGTGCTAATTGTATTTATCTTGGGAATATAATTGAATTTTGAGATTAAAAGTACACTTTTTTCTTTATACAACATTCGTAAATCATCTCGATCAACTCCCGTAGCCTCCCTGATCCAATTCAATGATCAATTACTCGTTCCTGCGAGACTTGAATACGCTAATTTGTCAGAGGACTGAAATGAAAAGTTTTTTCCAGCAAGACATAAATGATCTCGATCAACTCCCGTAGCCTCCTTAGGTGTGAAATTTGAGTACATGTAAAGTACACTGAACACACCTGTGCTCCGAGCACACAGCAGGAGGCCCAACACACAAAGGGATGTGCAAGGAGTTAGATTACGTGTCTTCCAATTTTCGATTTAACAATCAGGCTAGTTAGCGCGGAAATAAATAAGGCTCAAGTTCAAGGTAACTATGCATACATCAAATGCGCAAACATAGTCACAGATTATGTTGCATTTTGTAAACCACAATCAATACAACTTTATATCTGATCAGGTGGTTCAATGATCAATCACTCGTTCTTGCGAGACTTGAACACGCTGATTCGTCAGATGTTCGAAATGAAAAGGGTTTTTTTCTGCAAGACTCTCAAAATTGGTGTGTATATTTATTATGCATTAAAAACGAAAGTCTTTAAGAGGTGTGTTTATAAACTTCCTAAATTCACTCGATTGCATAAAGAATGAAAATACGGAAATTACCCCCTCCAAATACCTCTATATTCGTTACAAGAGACAATACAACTTATGTCACAAATGGAATATACTTATTCACCATATTACATGCTTTTATTACTGGGAGGAATACATAGGCTGCTACTCTTTTTTAGTATATATTTTGTACCAAAGTATTTTATTTGTCATTAAAGGAGTGGGGTGTGCGTACGTTTGACGCAATTTTAAAACAATATGCTTTGTGTTGTATAAAGGGGTTTATCATATTTTCAAGCGGTCAATTGAATAAAAAAAGTAATATTTTCAGTACGGTATTAACGAATAACATTTGGCCCGTAGTAGTAATAGAGTACAAGTGTTACATTTAAAGTTTTTAATCCGAAAATCTTTTTCTTGCATGATGGATAAACAGTTAGTTTTTTTTCTGGTGAAAATTTAAATACATGTAAATAAATACAAAAAAATAATTAGTAATATATTCATGATTCATTACACTGTAGCTTTTTACTTTAAACAAATGCAAGTTGGGAAAGTACAAGGTGGCTAGCCAAGACAGGTATCTAACTTAATTTTGTGCAACACTATATGGTTCAGATTACTTGCGTAGCAAGATATACTGGAATGGTAACACTTGTCCGAAAAAAAATTGGATCCGCCCCTGGTCAGTTCTAAAGAAATGTAATAAAAACTGTTGAACATGGAAAAAAC